CTCTCTCTCTCTCTCTCTCTCTCTCTCTCTCTCTCTCAAACCCTTCAGTAGCTTCCCATCCATTCCTCTTCTGTAGAAAGGAAAGATCTGAGGTGTCTGAGGTCTGGCCTCCGTCTGGGATCCTGCCCCTGTCTTACACGGCCATCTCCCTTGCTCCGTCTGCTCCAGCCATGAAGAGCTGCTTTTCTTCTCCCCGTTAGCCAGGCCCTTGCCTTTTGCAGAGCTGGGTTACTCTGCCCTGAACCCTCTTCCTACCCTTTTTTCACCTGGGTTGCTTCTACTCGCTCTTCAGATTCCGCCTTGAATGCCACGCCTGCAGAAAACCTTCCCTCAGTTCCCCAACCAGGTCAAACACCTCCATACTAGCAGCTCGCCTAGCACAGTGTGCCTCTGCTTCGAACCCTGAGCCACCGTTGAGATTTGACGTTTGCTTGCAGAAATGGCTTGAACGATGTCCGCGTCTTGCATTAGAAGCTCCACGAGGCTGAGGACCCTGTCTGCTGTTGTGCACCGTTCTATCCTCAGCGCACGATGTCTGGCATGAAGAGACACTCAATATGTTTTTGCTAAATTAATAACAATGGGCTCAGGAAGTCCTAATGGTGTATGGGCTCATGTGCACAGAGATGGAGCTCACACCAGGGGGCTGGGCTGTGGGAGCGCACGGATGTAACTGGAAGGAGCTGCTCCATGGGGAGCTGTCAGGCTGGGAGATGGATGGGGTTGAATATCAAGATGCCAAAGAGCCTCTCGGGCTTCCTCCAGCAGGCCAGGCTCCAGCGCCGAGGATCAGAGCATCAGACTGGATCTTGATGCAGTGGGGGTGCTGAGCAGGCTGGTCCAGGAGCCCGCTGTCTCTAACCCACCCTCCATCAGTCTCCTGCCTGGGCCCAATGGAGTCGGGCCAGGCTGGGAATGTGCTGAGGCAGCATATGCACTCACCTGGACCAACATACCGTCTGGTGGCTACGCATAAACAATCATAGCATCACACATGCCCATGAGCATGGAGCCTTTAAGAACCAACTCTGAGCCAGGCTCCAGAGGTGAGGACAGGAAACGTTTTGCAAACATCGTATCTCACAAAACCTCAAAGTTGGAAGAGAACTTGAAGGCCATTTAATCCTACCCCAACACTTGGGTTCCTTCTGTAATGTCCCCACCAGGAGCACAAGATATACAGCCTTGTCTACAACACACGCATAATGGAAGGTTATTGGCTCTCACCAAGCCCGCGGAGCAAACATCCCTTAATTCATGCCTAGCCACGTTTCCACGCACGCCCTCACACACTACAGCGAGCTTTAGGCAAGGAGGCCCCCTGACACGCAACTCCCACCCGCCGGAGCACAGGATGTCTCCTTTGACTTGCTTGAATTAACTCATGACAGCGGTCAGTGGCTTGCTGTCTCTCACACACAGACCCATTGTCTCAAGGAACAGCGTGAGACTGAAGACCTGCACACCAGGAAAGAAAACCCTTGAGGTTTGGGCCTGTATTTCCTGGTGCCCACTAGTGTGTGCAAAGGACCATGAGAAGGGCAGAACCCGCGTGTTTTTCCCCGCCATTATGTATCCCATGGCCCTTTGTGCATGGGTGTGAGTGGGGGGAGGGGGTGCCTCTAAGGGGTGGGGACCACCAGGGGTGTTCAGACCTCGTTGACTCTTAGGCATCTCCCAGCTGGGTTATAGGTACAAAGTCAGGTAGAAGTAAGGAATTTATGCTTTCTCACAAAGGGGGGTGTTTCTGGCTTCTTGGGGAGGGACCCTATGCCATGTGCAGAAAAGTCACTTTTCTCTTCAACAGCTCTCTTCCCCTTGAGTGTTATTAGTGCCCATGTTTCTCCCTCCCTCCCAAGGGGCAGGTCTTCCTGCTTTGTCCCACCCTCCAAAAGCCAGCTTCTCCCCTTTCCACATTCTCTCCCCATCTCTCCATGCCAGGAGGGGGTCCCTCATTCTAAAGCACATCCAGTTCTCTCCTTCCCTTCTCCAGCTGGCCCTCCTTACACCCCGCAATCAACCTGTCACTGGCTCCCTCATTTCAGTGCTTTCCTGTCCCCATTCCTAGAATCCCTTGTCTTTTTGAGACCCCAAAGAGTTGACTGAGATGATTGGGAAGGTGTGTGTTTGGGGGTCTGCCTGTTCTCTGGTTGTGGGGGGTGAGAAGAGGGAAAGGGGAGACGGTCACCTGGGACCTCTCCTGGTGGAGGGTAGTGCCGAGGCAAGGACCCCCCTCGCGCTGTGTGCCTAGAGACCACCCTCCCACTCCGGAGGATTTACTGGGAAAAAGAACCCATCTCAGGACCCAAAGAGGCCAGTCCTAGGGAAACGGCTCCACAAAAGAGACTTTCCCCTGAGGGAAGAGGAGCTTAGGAATCTGGACAGGAACACTGAGGGGAGAGGGGGCCAGGACACCGGGCAGCCCTCCCCTCCTGGGACCTGAAGGGCCACAGACTCACCCCACAAAGTAGGAGATGATCAGAAGCTGAACTGCTCGGTTGATGATTCCAATGGTCCAGCTCTTCACAACCACCGACTTGGTGGTCTCGTAGGTAAAGAAATCTGACATGCAGTTCATGCTGAAAGGGTGTTCAGGGGCCACTCAGAGAGGACCCAATGGCAGTCTTGGGAGGGAGAAGTCCTCAGACAGGGGGTCAGGGATCAATGCCTGGAAGGGGCGGCTTAGAGGGACTTGGGGAATGGGAAGCCTGTTCCTTTAAGTTAGGCAACCCTAGCCTGGTGCCCAGGCTCTCTCTGCTCTTGACACTCTGGGCTGCCAAGTGTCCAAGGCCAGGGCGGGGGACCCCTTTTTGTTCGTCTCCTCCCTACTCCCCTGTGATGTCATGGTAGGGGTGGGGTCTCCAATCCCAGGCTCCTGATTGCCTGCAATCCAGCTGGCTAGGGCCCTCTGGGACTCATGTTTTATCTGCACTCTGTCTACCGTTTCTGTTCCGTTCTCTTATGCTGCATCTTCATCACAGCTCACCAGCTGCTTTATGCTCTCCTTCAAGCCCCTCACAATGCCCCATCCCCCAGCCACCTAATAGCCTGCCTGGTCTGAGTACCCCTTTCATTCCTGCCTTCCTAAAGCAACTCAAGTCTGCAGCCAACCCCTCCCTTCCCAAGTTCCCTCCAACAGCATGGGGCCGGGGGAGGTGGTCTCAAACATTACTCTTGGTCTCTTGGGAGGGGGTGAGTCAAGAGTCACAGTTCATATTTCTAACTCAAATGGACAGTGGCTGAAGCTCTATCTTTAACGTTATCACATTGGAGGTATTTTTATTTATTTGTTTGTTTATTTATTTATGTTGTGTTTTTGTTTTACAGTCAAGTTGCTTATCTGAATCATTTGTTAGATTATAAGCTCCTGGAAGGCTGGTGCTGTTTCCGTCTTGTTCACTAATTTCCTCAAATCTTAGAACTCTGTTGGTGCTCAATACATATTTTTTGAATCCAGTTGAATTTATATTGCTAGAGATAGTGCTGCAATAGCCGTTACCCAGAGGTTAAAGCCGTGAGTTCAGGGAGCAACAGCGCATTCCTGCTGTCTCTTCTACCAGGATTCAGTTAGCAAGCTGGTGTAACTGGTTTAAGTCAGATTTTCAGAGACATCTTGAGTTTAAGTTTTCTGTCCTAATGTTTTCATACAGGATACATATTATCAATTGTTCTTAATGTAAAGTTGCTGTATTTATGATAGAAGGGAACTAGATAGGGGCAAGGAGATTTGGGTTTTAATCTCCAGCTTTGTTGCCAACTCCTGAGACCCTGGTCAGCTCCTCTTTGGACCTGCAAAAGGAAATTGGAGTAGACGAACCCAAACATGTCTCCCAGGTCTGGCCTCCTTTGATTTTGCAAGATGCATCCTAGGACTATGTGAGGTGGGCATGGCTTCGGCAATCCCAGGCTGATGTGGTTTCAAATCAGTTCTGGCTCTGACACCAGCACTTGAACTTGATACTGCCATTCACCAGCCTCTTCCAGGAAACCCATACATTGCAGTTAGAGATGTGACTTGTTTCGGGTGCAGACAGTGAACTCATTTCCAAAACGATCCAATCTCATGTGACTGACAGGGGAGCACAAGACAGTCACAATGACACCAACACAAGCATTCTTTTCGCGGCCAGCGGGCAGGTTCATTTCTCTCAACTCTTTACGTATTTTTCTTCTTGTCTCATCAACTCCTACTCCACAGAAACCACTATTGTGCAGAAGAGAGTGGGACTCACATTGATCCAACACACATACACAGGCATCTGTGGAAAGTCTTATCGATGAAAAACATCCAGCCTAAGAAAAAACTTACAAGAGTTTATTTGAGTGAAACTGATGACAATTGCCAGGAAGCAAAAATCTCAACGGATGGAGAAAATGCTCCGCAAAATGGCAGTTTGCAGCTTATTTTATATATGGAATCAAAGGAGGAAGGTTCCACGAAATCCATTGGTGGTAGATTAAGGGAGCGGGAGAAAGCAAAAGGGGGGGGGGTAATCTCTAGGATTGGATAAAAGTAAATTGGAGACAGGTACTTCTTTCACATAGGTGGGTGCAGGGTAGTTAACAGTTTTTTATTTATTTTATTTTTTAACAGTTCGCTTTTTACAGCACACAGAGATGTTAATCAGGGGATAAGCATAATAATAAGGAATTTTGCAGTTTCCAGCTCTGGTCCAGAAAAAAGATAGCTGACATTCCAAAGATGTTATCTTAGGTGCAAAAAGACAACAGACAGGCCCACTGAAAAGGCACAGATTAACTTTGCTAAAGATGTGACTTCCCGCCACGGCCCGCTCAGTTATGAAATTTTTTTATGCCCACGCCATCTTATGTGGTTCTTTTCAGTCTCCCAAGCTTGTTAGGTTAATATGTGGCCCCTTTTCCATTCACAGTCTGATAAAAGAAAACTACACAATTTATCTTGAGAACCTAGTCCTCCACTGAAGAAGTGTCTGTAATGTTTAAAGAGCCCGGTGCACACCCAGGTTTCTCCTCTGAGTCCATGCCGGTGGGACTTCCTCCCGGAGGCTGCCCTCAGGTCCTCCAGAGGCGCCGCCGCTCTATGTGACCGACGCGTAGTTGGGCCGAACTCACACCTCTCTAGCCACCTCATCCTCTCTATGATCCGGGTACAGCTTCCGGTGGCGGGACGCTGGGCCGCGCACGCGGGAAAAGCTTCCCCAGTGTACCCCTATCCCCTGTGTCCCTACCCCCCTTCCCCCGCATCCCCCAGCGTGCCCACCGCCCGCACCCGGGCCGCCGCAAGGCTGCTGTTTGAGAGGTGGGTGGTCATCGCCCCTGTGCCCCAGGAGGGCGCGGGTCTCGCTTCCCCGCGGGACGCTCGAGATGGGCTGTTCCGCGTTCGAATCGGCGGGTAGCGGGCGAATCCATTTTAGGGGGAGGGGGAAACGTGGGCCTGGGGCTGCGGCGCGGTGGGAGCTCTGGGAGGGAAGCCCTGCATTCTGAGCTGGTTTGGAGCACGGGTGAGGTGTAGGGTTCTGGCAGGCCCTGGGATACCGCTGCTCGTTGCCATGGCGCCAGGGGGAGCGCCCAGAGCCTGTGTCTGGTTGGGATGTAAGCGCTGCTCCAGGCCCGGTTCTTGAGCCTGGGCTGGGCCCGGCCTCTCTGCAGAGCCCGCCTTGTAGGCTCCCAGGCAGAGGAGATCCTGAGGTATCCCAGGCACAGCCACGGTTGCTACCTGGCTGCATCTGTGGGCAGAGTGAAGTGTTCTTTCATGCTCATCTGTCTTCCTCTTGAATTCAGATTCCCAACCTGCTGAGTATCTGCACGCCCATCCAGGAGTTGGGGCCTCGCTCCCAGCTGAGGCCAAAAGGGGCAGGACAGCATGGCAGAAACACTGGAGTTCAATGATATCTATCAGGAGGTGAAAGGCTCCATGGTAAGAAGGGCTTGGGCTTTTAGCACAGGTGGAGAAGGGAAGGGAGTAGACTTTTTGTCAGTCAACAAGTTTGCTGATGTTGCTACTTTGGAAAAGGAGTCAGAGTTTAATGCGTACCTAGTGTTTCTCTAACAAGAGGCGGGAGTGAGAGAGTACAAGAGTTAACGGGATCTCAGAGTTTGAAGGGACCGGACCTGCTGCCCCATCCTGCATCCCCAACCTGAGGACCTGCAAGCGTTCTGGATGCCAGAACCAGGATTAGAATCCAGACTTTCTGGCTACTTGTCCCCCCTTACTGGCCCTCACCACGTGAGCTGCTGTTCCTGCACTGATAGCTGGCCAGCCGAGAATGGGCGCTGGGTGGGACAGTACCCAGTATTCACTGTCTACCGTCCCTGTGCATTTGGGCCGATTTTTCCCACAGAATGATGGCCGGCTGAGGTTGAGCCGTCAGGGCATTATCTTCAAGAACAGCAAGACGGGCAAAGTGGACAACATCCAGGCAGGGGAGTTGACAGAAGGCACCTGGCGCCGTGTGGCTCTGGGCCATGGACTTAAACTGCTTACAAAGAACGGCCACGTCTACAAGTACGATGGCTTCCGAGAATCGGTAAGATAGCTTTGTTGCCACAAACCCCCCTTTTATGGCGTCATCTTGTTTAATTTTCATCTAGAGAGAGTTGGGGCTCCTTCCTCTGATAATGATATAATTGCTAGTTTGGTCTCCGCAGAGCAGAGCCATTGAGGCCATTAAGCAATCAGTGTCCAGTTTTGGGTGTCAGAGTCTCGGGGGTGTCTTCGTGCCTTGACGCCAGAAGATTTGCCACCATTTTGATTTTTTGTGGTTTCTGCTTGTTGCCTTTTTTAGGTTCAGAGTCTTAGCTTGATGCTTTAGTTTGGGTTTTGTTTTTCCATTGTGAGCTGCTTGAGTTAAAGACATTACTTCATTTTAATTTCCACTTTCATTAAAGCAATACCTGTACAAAGTCAGATAGCATTGTGAGGAACTGTCAGTTCCTTATTTCACTCTCCCCCCAGCCTGAGATTCAGTCCCCAGAAACAACCTCTTTCAACATCCTTTTAAACAATTTTATAGTTGAGCTTTTAAGTCAATGTGGATTTCTGATACAAGGTATATTAGGGCCATATCTCACGCATAGATAATCCCGAATGCTCAAGTTTGTGTTAAAATCACTGGGGTTTACTGGGACTGCTCTCTCCACTCCACCTGCAGGAGTTTGAGAAACTTTCTGATTTCTTCAAAACTCACTATCGCCTTGAGCTAATGGAGAAGGACCTATGTGTGAAGGGCTGGAACTGGGGAACGGTGAAGTTCGGTGGTGAGTCCTGGGCAAGGATTGAGGTTTGGGGACAAGATAGGATGAAGGGTTTCAGCCTTTAACTTGTGTTAGTTTTCTTTCTGTCACTGTCTCTGACTTTCTGTCAGTCTGTAATTCATCATGTATTTATTGAGGACCAGCAGTGTTTCAGGCACTGTGCCTGGTCTTGGGGGTACAGTTTGAGCAAAGAAGCCCCAGTGCCCTGTGCTCTGGTGGGAATGTGGCTTCTGCAGACTCGAGGGGGGAGCTGGTGGCTGAGAGCCCTTTGCCTACAGGGCAGCTGCTTTCCTTTGACATTGGGGACCAGCCGGTCTTTGAGATACCTCTCAGCAACGTGTCCCAGTGCACCACAGGCAAAAATGAGGTGACACTGGAGTTCCACCAGAACGATGACGCAGAGGTCTCTCTCATGGAGGTGCGCTTCTACGTGCCTCCCACCCAGGAGGATGGCGTGGACCCCGTTGAGGTGAGGTGTCCCCTGGTCGCCTTGGGAGCAGATGGCGTTGAGTGGGCCCTAGCTGGCCCAGGAGTAGGATCCCTGCTACTGGATGACAGTGTGTGCTTCTGCAGGCCTTTGCCCAGAACGTGCTGTCTAAGGCGGATGTGATCCAGGCCACTGGAGACGCTATCTGTATCTTCCGGGAGCTGCAGTGTCTGACTCCCCGCGGCCGATACGACATTCGGATCTACCCCACCTTCCTGCATCTGCACGGCAAGACCTTCGACTACAAGATACCCTACACCACGGTGCTGCGCCTCTTCTTGTTGCCCCACAAGGACCAGCGCCAGATGTTCTTTGTGGTGAGCAGAGACCACCGGGGGTGGCTTGTCCTGGTTTCTGCCCGAATCTTTGGTAGCTAGATCTCACTGGGGTTCAGTTAATCAGCAGTTTCTTCTGAAGCACTGACTGGTGCTCAGCCTCGTCGGCTCTTCCTTACCAGATCAGCCTGGATCCGCCCATCAAGCAGGGCCAGACCCGTTACCACTTCCTGATCCTCCTCTTCTCCAAGGATGAGGACATCTCCTTGACTCTCAACATGAATGAGTGAGTGTCTTTCTGGACTCACCTTGCCATGTCCAGGCAGGAGACAGGCGTGCTCTAGCCACACTCGTGACCGCATCTTTGTCTGTAGGGAAGAGGTGGAGAAGCGCTTTGAGGGGCGGCTCACCAAGAACATGTCGGGATCCCTCTACGAGATGGTCAGCCGGGTCATGAAGGCGCTGGTGAACCGCAAGATCACAGTCCCAGGCAACTTCCAAGGGTGCGTGCAGGCGCGGGGTCCTGGCCTGTGGGGGAGGGCTGTGCCGAGTCGCCTTGGTAAAACCGTCCTGGGCGGGAGCGCAGCCCCTCAGAGACCTGGTTGGGTCGTGTCTCGATGGTGTCAGTTGCCTCCATTAGAGTAGCTCGGTGAGGTCCCCTCAGTTGAGGGCCCTGAGCACACGTGTGTTGCTCCCGAGAGATGTGCCCTTTGGCTCTGTGCTACCTGCTGCTGCGGTAGGCACTGACTGGGCCTTTTGTGCCCTCCACCAGGCACTCCGGGGCCCAGTGCATCACCTGCTCCTACAAGGCGAGCTCGGGACTGCTGTACCCGCTGGAGCGGGGCTTCATCTATGTCCACAAGCCACCTGTGCACATCCGCTTCGACGAGATCTCCTTCGTCAACTTTGCCCGTGGCACCACCACCACACGTTCCTTTGACTTTGAAATTGAGACCAAGCAGGGCACTCAGTATACCTTCAGCAGCATTGAGAGGTGAGAGCCGAGAGCCTCTGCTGGTCACTTCCTGGGCATCCTGGTTCTGACCCAGGAGGCCTGGCCCAGCCTGGGGCCCTCTCCAGGCCTGTGACTTGTCCCTGACTTCAAGCCTTTGAATTTGAGCAGAATTTTTCTTTTGCTTCCCTCGGATTTGGGTCTTCTCCTTGGAGTGCTCAGCCTTTGGAAACCTCTCCGCAGCTTGCTTTCTATCCTTAAAACTGTTTTCCGTAGTTCAAAAGCTGTGTGTTCAGTGCTAGCCCTTCTCCTCCTCCACTGCCCCCACGAAGGAAATGCTATCTCTCTCTCTTCCTGGAATCAGCTTGGTGCCCGAGAACACAGCCACTAATGTTTATCGAGTACTCACTGTGAGCTCAACGTTTTACAAACATCTTCACACTTAATCCTTATAACCCTGTGAAGTATACGAAATACAAACCAGTAAAAAGATGAGAAGTCTCTTCCCGGCTATCGCCCCCTTACCCTGTGCATGTGTGGTCACGAGGACCCCCCCCTCCCCCCCCTTTTCTTTCCCAGAACTCGTGAGAGCCGTGCAGGTCCCTCTCTCAAGACGAGTGTCTGACTCTTGACTGCTGTTCTCCGAGGCTGGGTTGGACAATGTGGTCAACAGCTCCAGGCCCCACAGTCTGTCCCAGCCCATGGGTGTCAGAACAAGACGTAGTCAGTCCTCCTGTTGTTGGCCTTGCCTGCCTGGTAACACGGTGCGTCTCCCCCCACAGGGAGGAGTATGGGAAGCTGTTTGATTTTGTCAACGCAAAAAAACTCAACATCAAAAACCGGGGATTGAAAGAGGTACCTGCGTGTGGCAAGGACGAGCCTCTCGCGTTCCTTCTGTAGTGGGGAAAGGGGCAGGGAGTTTTTCCGGCTTCTTTTTCATTCTCTCTTCTCTTCTTACCCTTATAGAAAAAAGAGGTGCGTGTGACCCTTCCCCCCTCCTGGTGCAGGTTTCCTCAGCATGACCTTAGACCAGTCGCTGCAGCCCCTGAGAAGCCCCCAGTGGGGCTGGGAGAGGGAGGGGCTTGGACTAACCCAGTTGGCAGGAAGTCCTCGGGCGAAGGCCCTGCACGTTGGCTGTGTGTGGACAATCCGGCCCCGGGTCTTCTGGGAGCCGCCGCTCTGATGTTAACTCACAGGCTTGGGGCAGTGCTTCCGAGTGTGCAGGGGTTCTGGCACCAGGGCCGGCTGGCCCTCACTGTCGTCTCTCCCCTGGCGGCCAGGGCATGAACCCAAGCTACGACGAGTATGCCGACTCGGATGAAGATCAGCACGATGCCTACTTGGAGCGGATGAAGGAAGAGGGCAAGATCCGGGAAGAGAACGCCAACGACAGCAGCGATGACTCAGGAGAAGAAACCGGTGGGCTCGCCGTGGCAGTGCCAGGGTGACGGGGGCGGCCAGGCTTCTCTGGGGCCAGAGCTGGGTGTCTGGGTAAGGGGGCAGGGGTTCCATGGCGCAAAGCTGATGCCTCCTATGTTCTTTTTCAGATGAGTCATTCAACCCAGGTGAAGAGGAGGAAGACTTGGCAGAGGAGTGAGTTTTAGGTCCACCTCATGGGGTGAGGTGGTGGCCTCTGAGCTTAGAGGACCAGAGCTTTCTGGACATTCCTGGTGTCCCAGCATGACTACTGACCCAGGGTGGAAAAGTGACCTCCAGTGAGGTGATAGAGGGAAATGCTTCGAAAATCAAATCGTCAAGGGCTTTGTAAGTGCAAGGCACGTTGCGAAGCCAGAGAAGAGAAGTATAGTGGGGAGAGATGGGAGGAGAGCCACTGCCCCTCTTACCTGCTGGAGTCCTTGGGTCAGCCGTTGGACCTTAGCGTTTTCAACTGTAAAATCACAGTAGTGGCCGCGTGCTGTGTTGATCAAGACTCTTGATTGCCAGTGTCAGAAATATGACTCGAACGGACTGTAGCATAAAAGGGGGTTTTGTAGGCTCATGTTACTGGAGGCCAGGGATGTGATTGGCTTCAGGCACCTGGACCAGGCGCCCAGCAGCTGTGGGGAATCTTTCTGGTTCTTCTGATTTTCTTATTTTCAGGTAGGTTTGCCCCATGCGGTGCCCGATGACCCTCAGAAGCTCTGGGCAGGCTTAATCCTACTCGTTTAACACCCAGGAGAGCCCCTGCACCAGAGCAGCAGTAAGCAGCGTGGTTACATGACCTTCCCCAAGTCTGAGTTAGGATATGCTCTGAGGGGCCGCGGTGCGGTTGGTGGGCCCCTCCTGAATGGGGGTGTGGTGGCGCCCAACAGAAATTGGGACTCTGAATCCAGAAGAATTCAGAATGAGTGCTGGGCAGGGGGAAAAAAAATCTAAGGGGTCCACTACTTCCGCGTGCCACGTGCTTATTCATAGTGAGTCCGAGTAAAGGCTTAATGAAAGGGCCTTGAAAACTGTTGAGCACCATGCAGTCTGGGCAGCTCTGTTTTCTGAGGAGTTCTGTGTGTGTCCGATAGGACTGTGACTATGTGAGGACGCACGGCTTAGACTGGAGTTGGTTTTTTCACTTTTTATAGTAACTGTCTCTTGATTAGAAAGGCTACAGGGTAGCATAAGATGAGGAACTCAGAGGCAGCGGTGAGGTGGGCCTGGGCATGTTGATGAGACGGTTTCTGTCCCCCTGTTCCCGGGATCATGGCGATGGAGGAGGACTTGGGTTAGGCCGTGACGAAGGAGAGCAGATGAAGCCTGTTTGCTTTTCTTTGATTCACCAAATAACCCATTGCTGTGGCTGGGTCTGGAGAGGGCCTGGTGGAAGCCACCTCAGCGAAGGGAAGGCAGAGCTGGGGATGGTGGAGGCTGCCCTGTGGTCCTCCTCCCGCTCCCCTTTCTGGGCGGGTGTCTTTGGACTCCTTTCCTGTTCTGAGACCAAGGGGTGCCGTCCCCTGTCCATGAGTGAGTCTGAGCCCCACTCTCCTTGGCAGGTTTGACAGCAACGCCTCTGCCAGCTCCTCCAGTAATGAGGGTGACAGTGACCGGGATGAGAAGAAACGGAAACAGCTTAAAAAGGCCAAGATGGCCAAAGATCGCAAGAGCCGCAAGAAGCCTGTGGAGGTGCGGCCTCCCGAACGGGAGGGTGCTGGGGACCTGCGCTCTGTTCTCCCATCCAGCGCCCAGAGGGCCTGTCCGTTGGTCCTCCTGGAGCTGCTCTTTGTAGCCAGTGGTTATGGCCTGGAGGAGTATCTTGGAAATGTTTTCCTCTGGTCCTTGAGATAATTAGCTTCTGGGGCTCTGACCTGGGAGGTTTCTTTTGTCCCAGGAGCCCAAAAGAAAGGGGCCCCTAATGAGCTAGGCCCTGGGGTGCAGAGGGGAGGAAGACACAGTCCCTGCCCTTAGGGAGCTCCTGCAGGTTAGTCCTTTCTCCATTTTGTCCCCAGGTGGGTGATCCAAGTAATTTCTTTGGGAGAACGTGGGCTATAGCGGCTGAAGGCATTTGGGGTCTTTCTTGTGTAG